TTTTTCTTGCCGTGTTTCGCTACGGTATAGCAAGTTCTCGGTTCGTACAGTTCTCGCGTTGTTCTCGCGATATCCAGGTAATTCTATGAATTCCTGAGTGTTCCGGAGGTGTAGTGCTGTTCCTTAGTGCAGTGCGCCCCAGAGTGTCCTTTGGGTACAGTTCTCGGCCCCCACGGATTAGCTGCACCAGCTCCGGTGAGTCTCCCAATTTATTAATTGGTGAAGGGATCTCGATAGATGGTTAAGATTCGTTCCGATACGTTCTCGATTCGTCGCTCTCTGTCTCTCGCACTATTTGCCGGACTCTTACTCCGACCGTCTCTACCTCAACCCTAGCAGCCTGAGCGGCCGTGCGTTTCCGTAACCGTCCGCTCCCGTTCGTGTATCCAGTTGCGTTTGCTGATTTTACGCGACCCCAAAAATCGACAGGATCCGTTAAGCTATCGCCTCGTCCGATAGGTTCCGTCAGAGCTCTCGTTCGTGGTGGAGTTGGGCCTGTTCCACCCCAACTCCCACTTTATACCGGCTCGTCAGTTCCCGGTGAAAAAAGAATTGGCTGGCGGCCGCCTGGCTTGCGGATGCACGAACGACGGGTGGACGGCCGAAGGTAACGTAGGTTGGTTCTCGAAGATAGTTCGTTCTCGTATGTTTTGCTATCGGTGTCGGGTCAAGGAAAAGAATTACGTTACACGTTTTATGATGCAACAAGCAAAAAGAGATGTCTGACAACCAAAAAATAATTATTAATCAAATAACCTTTAAGTTTCTCCGCACGAAAAGACGAAGGGAAGAAGAAATCGATGCTCATGTGAATAGATAAAATTATTCCTGATTTTCATGAAATTTCACAAGAATCTTTCTCAAGGTATAGAGACGTTCATCCAATCCACTCAGATCCAACAGATCAAGTTTGTTAAAAAAAAAAGAAAAGTTTCAGCTCATTAAAAAGAATTTCTCCGAGACCTGCCTCTCATCCAAGAATAGCAAAGATATAAAAGCATTATTTCAATATATTTCTTTTTTTTCTTTCTACCTTCAATTCACACTATATTTCCGTAAATAACGTTACATTCAAAATCTTTGACGAAATGCAAAGTAACCCGGAAGTCGTTATATCGACCGAACGGGGTGTAAAACGAGGTTCGATATAACCAATAAAAAGTTTATTTGTTCCGAGCATAAATATTTGTCCTCTCTAAATCTCACATCAGCCGTATCTCAATCCGACACGACTACCAGTAGCAGGATGGAGCTTTATGAAAATTCACCCCCTGCGCGATACCCTACACGTACTGGATGATCAGTGCACGGTGCATCGAGGTTTAAAAACAGAGAGAGGACAGTTGACGAGGCACTGGGGTGGTTTCTGCTTTGGTTCCGGATTCTTTGGACTCTACAGTTCAATGAAACGCCAAACTTTTTTTCTTCTTCCAAGACTCGTTAGCCAGAAGGAGGCACGGAGCAGAGGACGCAGAGACAGAAAAATCTGAGAGACGTAAGGGTTAACGAGGGAAGACTGTAAAAGTCGCTTAAAAAAGTAATTAAAAAAAATATAGATATATCTAAAAAAATATATATATATATT